TGGTAATAAAGGATTGAGTATGTAACGCAAGCTGGTTGCAACCCTGAGAAAGGTGTGACCAGTACCTTATAATACTTTTAATTGCGACTTGTTCTGCGAGGAGGAAACCCTTTCCGCGGAAACCCGGTAAACAAGGGGTATCCTGTAGTCGGTCAAGTAGACCATAACCTTCCTTCCTGTTTTTATTTTCCATTGTTGCAGTCTGTTCCGGCTGTCCTGTCCTGCTCCTTCTGCCACACACTTGACTGAGCATCCCCGTCGCGCAATTTTTATCGAATTTTAATTTTTTTTATTTTTATTTATTTTATACGACTTTTCGATTAAAACAACTTGGCAGGACAACGGGCGTAAGACGATTTTCCCTTGGCCACAATTTAATGGTTTTTAACAGCATTTACGGTAGTGGTGCGCCACTCTCGTTTCACGAACAAATCTTATTTGTATATTTTAATTTCACTTCGTTGAATTTTAAGTGTGTCGAGCTTGTATATTTACGGCCAGGCCAGCATTGTTGGCAAATGGAAACAGATTATAACTGATTAAGGTGGCAAAGTAGCAGGGTGAAATATTAAAAATAAAATAATTATGATCGCCTCTTATTTGCCCGCCTGGAAAATAACATAAATGCTGGCTGGCTGGCTGGATATTAAGGGGCTGTCGACAAATGTAACACTCAAAAGCGTTGCGTTGCCGTTGTCAGTGGCTAAACTCGGTGAGCAGAAATCATGGGGCTTTATATAAGCCAGCTTTGCCAGCCTTGACATAATAATAAAGATTGTGTCGGCGAAGCCTCAATTATGTTATTTCCCACTGTGCAAAATGGTGGGTAAGGGAAAGTCTTCCCCATCTTCTTCCCCCTTTCGCCTCGGAAGCATCTTCATCTGTCCGGAAAACTTGAACGCCAGTCCCTAAGGAAAATGTTATCTCTCAAACCTAGAACCCCTCCCCCTCCCCCTTTAAAAACGGGGTTCGATTTATATTGCTGGTCGCTGCGGGGTTGCGGAATTGCGGAGTTGTGGAATTGGGCTCGGATGCAATTGTAATGGACAAATTCGGTTGGCTTACGTGCTGAACGACGACACAAGCCCACTAAAATTTGAGCCCAAAACGCAACGCAACTCACTTTCCGGGGCAGCAAACACACACGCACACACACGCACACTCATACACACACGAACACACACTATCATAGACACATATGCAGTCAAGTGATGTGTTTTGTGTGCCGACTCTGTTTGCCATCCTTGGAGTGGCTGAGAGTCCTTTCGAGTTGAGCCAGTAGTGGTGGTGTACTTGGGGAAAAAATGCACCCTTTACAGCTTAAAAAGTTAGCCGAACATCGGAGTTATAAACTCTGGAAGTAATATACTACTTGAGGGTACAACTTTTAAGGACCGAAAAGACTTAATTATTAGTTCTCAAAGATTTAGATTGAATCGCACCTTTAATTTAAAAAACTCTAAAAATAAGTATATAATGTTTGAGGAAATATAATAATAATTCAATTTAGAATCCATCACTGCTTATTCCACGGCATTCTAAAGTTTGCATATCTTAAATCATAGATTGTAATGATTGTAAAATACCTCTTAGTCTAGAAAATCGCATATACAAACGTAATAAAAATGTATAAAAAACATTTCTCATTACTCAACACACAAATCAAGACCAACTGTACCTGATTTAGCACCCATTATTTCTGCGAGTGCATCGGCTGTAGAGTAGTCCCCGAACTCAGCCAGTGTGCAATACTTGAAATGCAACAAAATTTATGTGCATATGCATATGGCATTTGGCATATGGCATATTGTAGGCAGGAAGCCCAAATGCAGAAGAAAAACGAGGAGTAAAGGGCGAACAAGAAGAAGAACAAGAAGAACGAGAAGGGGGAAGAAGAAGAAGAATGGGAAGGAGGAACCTTTGTCTGCCATTTTAGAGCCTTAAAATACACCGCATTTTCGCATTTCGCATTTGGACTCTCAGGCTGCCAGGCAAAACTTAACAAATGAGCGCTCGAGAGTCCTGCCAAAACAGGCAAAAGCTGAAAGTTGAGCGCCGCTAAGCTGGCGCCAAAAGTTTCCAGTTTCTCCGTTTCTCTTCTTAGTTTCTCCACTGCTTTCTCCACAGCTTTCTCCGCTGCTCTCCGCTTCTCAATTTCTCGGTGCAGAACAAATGTTGGGGCAACAACTTGCTGCAAACTTGGCGGCGATGCGAAGGAAGCACCCTTGGTTTTTATTTTTTTTTTCTGTTTTTTTTTTTTTTTTTTTGCATTTTTTTTTCTGAATGGGAGACAGAGTTTCGCAAAAGTTCACTAGCACTTCTACTTCTATACGTACTACTACTTCTACTTCCACTACTGCATATTCTTAGTGTGGCCAGGACAAACAAAGTGACTGCAGTTTGTTGTCCTCGTCAGAAGCGAAACTTTTGAAGGCTCTCGCGGGGGCTGATGCATTGTGTGAATCATAGAATACTCGTACTTACTGAGCACAGCGAAACTTTTTAGCCGTGCCCACTGCCACTTAGTATTGGGGTCAGAAAAAAGTCAAGATATGACTGTTATTTACGGAGTGAAATTGTTGGAATCTTCTTGGCGAAATAGGGATCAGTTGGGAATTTTTTTTTATTGAATTGGTCACACTGTTCGAATCGCAGAATTCGTTTGCAAAAATTAAAGGGATTGCATTGTTTAGTTTCATAAAGTATAGTAATAATAATTTCTATACAAAAGTAAGTCTTAATCATAATCTTCCATTTACACTTCTCTCTGTCTTTTTATAAAAATTAACCAAAAAATGTTCGTTTTTTTTTGTAGACTATCTCCCAAAAACATAATAAATATTATGTGGAATGAAAATTCCCTGGCAGCAAATCATAATCTTTGAAAGGTGACCCCTTTCGCATGCCAGGGAAACTTAATTTTAGAAATTCCTTAACGTGCACAAAATAATTTTGTATTGTCAACTTGCACCTTTATGCTGTTATGCTGGCCCCTGGATTTAATTTGCTTTAACCGCTCATCTGAGAGGGGAATGCTGGGGTGCAGAGGTGATATTTACGTTTGTGTTAAGGAGGGTGAAGATTCCTCCTTTCCGTGGAAGACATTTGGGGTTGGGGCACTCACACTCATCCATTCGCACTCAGACAATATAAGTATAAGTGCCTGGCTACACACATAATGTGCCGCATACATACACACAGATACACAACCAGAAAAACTGAATTAGAAGTGCTCATATTTTCCATCACTTTTTTTGTAGCATTCAAACCCATTATAGAACTTGATTATGATGTGGATTTGCCAATAATTCCCTCTAGCTGTGAAAAATAACCCATCCGTTTCGCTCTTTCGCTTTGATAAAGTGTAAAGAGCACGTATCTTTCTTTTTTTTTTTTTTTTGATATTATTCAATCATGTAAATATCTATTTGACCTGCGAATATGAAATTGACATTAAGCTGCTTTCCTTCCTCCTCTTTTTTTTATCTGTGTACGAACGCGACTATGCATATGCATCCCAGTGCCTGCAAAAAGTATGCAAATAGAACGCAATTTGCATGCAAAGTGCCATCAAGAGAGCGACAGAGTGCGAGTGTGTGTGTGTGTTCGAGGTGTGTGTGCGAGTGTGTCTGTGTGTGAGGAGGTGTGTTGGTGTGTGAGAGAGCGAATCTTATTAGCCACGCCAAGAAGGGCCAAGAAGGATGAAGGACGAAGGACGAAGGACTAAGGAGGTGCAACTTGTGTTCATAACGTGGAATTTAAGCCGCGATTCAAGACATTTTGGGCCACAAAAAATAGATACCTTTTTTTTACATTTTTAGTAAAAAAACTAGAAAGAAGTGCCATATATTTAATGATCTCTTCAGATTTAAAAATAAAAATTGTATATTCCTTTTTTAGCACATAAGTCATAAAGCTTCTTTCTAAGCCCCACTATTCACAACTTTGAGTGAATATAAATGCCCGACTTGAATAGATTTCAATTTTTAAATACGACCCACTCTTTCTCTGGCAAAACAATCCACCTTATTTAATTACAAAATAATGCATTTCCTCTCGTTTTCGTTTTTGTTTTCTTCAAGTCGAAGCAATATTTCTGCTTTCCACTTAGTTGGCTATTTGTACAAGTCATTTGCGGTTTTTGTTGTTGCTGTTTGCTGACTGGTAGAATGGTGGAATGGTAGAGTGCCTTCCAAACATATTGGCCCGTTGTTTTGCTTTGCTCGGCCTGCTTTTCTTGAATTGCATGTTCTGATTTCTTACACATTTTAGCCATTAAAATGTGGGGAATTTTCTTTAAAGGAACACTTTTACCGGAATTTCGCTCGAGACTCTTTTTCTTTAACTCTCTGGCAAGCGGAACACAACGCGACAAAAACACTGCTATTTTTTTGTTTTTTTTGCCCATGTATGTGGTGTTTGTGTGGGCGGAAGTTCGCGTGCCTTTGTGTATGTGTCTATGTGTGTGTGTGTGTGTGCGAGGGTGTGTGGAAAAGTTTTACGAGCAAACCGAACTGACATGTTAATTATTTTCCGTGGAACTCCAAAGACGAATAATACGCCTGCAATGTATGAAAGCAAGGAAGTGGGCGGTAATGAGTTAAAAACAAAAAACCTGCTGCCAATGTGGGCCAATTGCGACTGAATAGGGGTTGAAAAAAAAAAACAAAAACAACAAGAACAACAAAGAAATGCATACATATACATACGTATATAGAAAAGTGTGCAGAATGCCATAGAAAATTGGCCCACAAAACATTAACTGAATCGAAAAAGGGGAAAGTATGGCATCTAACGATCCGCAAGCAAAAGTTTTATAACTTCGTTGTTTTCGAAGATAATTGCATATGACTGTAATTGTATTTTGATTTATGCCATTTTAGCACGACTTTCTCACTTTCGCAGTTTCTCAAACTTTAAATAAAGTGTTTATTTGCTGAAATTTGTAGTCTGCAGTTGAGTTTATAATTCAGAATCTTTAACTTTCGGTTTCAACTTACCCATTTAATAAGAACCTGGCAATCTGCAAGAAACATTAAAAGAGATTATCATTAAAAATGTGTGGGAAAGGAAATCTTGTATACATTCTTATATTTTCTGTTTTTATTTGTGTACCCGTCATTCAGGGAGTGTTAAGTATATATATGTAGTGTATAGTGTATAATTTATGAGTTTTAAGTTGTCCCCTCTTCACACAAACGCTTAAATTTGTCACCCAACGAATGGCACCCAACATTTATTTAAGTGTTTTATGTTTTTTTGAAGCCAAAACAAAAATAAAATAAAATCCGCTGTTCTCGGGGGACCTTTTTGGAAGAACCATGGGATTTTCTTTGAAGGAAATACAACTCTTTTTTATATGGAATTGGCGAAAAGATTTCAGAGAGAAAAAAAAAAACGAAAATTGAAATTATGATTATCGCTTTTCGAGGGATTTCACGTGGAGCTGCCAGCGGGGAAATTCTAAACCAGAATACAAATATATATATATGTATATATCCGCCGCACCCTAGGGAGCATAAAAAACCGCTGCTTCTATATATATTCAATGATAAGTTGGGGCGAAGTCCAAACTCCCCAAAGAAAAACACTCCCCTCCAGTGTTTAAAGTTGCTCGGAATTTATAGACATTTTGTTGCTTTTTAAATAAACACTTTTAAGCAGACAAATTAGGAGGATTTCCCCTTTTCAAACGCTGCCCATAACTTATGTTAAAGTCGTTCCCAACGATCTGAGCAATAACTTAGCCGAGATTAAAGCCGCGAGCGTATATTTTCTTTTTTTTTTTTGTTTTTTTTTTTGGGGTACCTGAATTTGTGGGTGTCAATCCAGCAACACGGCGAAATCCATAAAGATTTTGACTCAACCAAATGCCTCGGGAAACAAAATGTGGAATGGGAATGCGAATGCGAATGGTTATAGGTGCAAAAATGATTGGGCGGCGGTGAAGGCGTCGAAGTTTGGGGCGTGGTCGCTGCAGAATCAAACAATAAATCTCTTTTTTTCCAAGCCACGTTACACGCGCACACACATACTAACACACAGCATACACACACACACACACATACAGTAAGCTCATTTAGATTTATGTAGCCCAAAAACTGTTTTGGGAAATCCATTTGTGTGCTGCAAACTTTTCTGCTTACGCATTTTCCTTTTGCCCAAACGCTTTTTAGCCGCTCGGTGTTCGAAATACCGAATATCGAGTACCAGATATGTATATTCGATTTGCACACACAGCCACAAAAATTCTCCCCCTTTGCCGCCTTTAAAAATTGCTAAATTCCATAGCCACCCAATCACTCCTCCCTTCCCCGCCAACAAGGTTTTTTTTTTTAGCTCGACGGTGGAAAAATGTTTCCTGGGCGGACCAAGTTTGGATTGTCAATATCAATATAACTTTTCTAGAAAATTACCATAAATGTTTGATTTGAATAAAATTCCCGCCAATGTATTTTGGCGATGCAACACAATTTGTATCAAGGTATCTTTCACATTTCGAGCACCAGCGTATTGCCTTTCCTTTCCTTTTATTTTTTTTCTTTTTTTTTTTTTTGTGATGTTATTTTATTAAAGAACCTGATCTGATCTGCTGGCACATAAAAAAGTCGATTGAGAAAGTTTTATGCTGCCTTTTAAATGTAAAGTGATTTGCTGTGAAACGAGTAGGCGGACAGAGAGACAAACTGACACGAATGCTCACAATAAATTAATGCGGATTTGAATACGTTTGAGGAATTGGGTTAATCAAATTATAGGCAGAGTGTTCAAATTGGAGGGCTTAAAAACGAATACCCTAAAGAATGCTCGTTTATGAAATTAACATTCTATTTCACTTTTGTGGCTCACAAAGGCTTTGTAATTATTTATAGTTTACTCAGTTTTAAAGTTGCTTTAATCAATTCAATTTTTATATTCATTTACATTTTTTTTTAATTTTAACAATTGTTTAATCATATTTGAAAATACCTTTCTTAAATTTTGAACATGAATCACTAATTCCTTTCCTTTTCTTTTGTTTTTTTGAGTTGACGTGCTCTATTTTATATTTAGTTATGTTAACAGGCTTTCAAAAGTGATTGAGGCCGCAGCCTAGACCCAAAATCGATTGGGTATAAATGGCTAAAAGCCCCAAAAGACCCAAAGGCCAGGAGAGAAGGCTTGGCTGCTTTCGTTTCCTTTGAGCCACGGAGTTGAGCTGCGTTGTTTTCTGGCTGACAGCACAACAATTGCAATCTCCGCACAGGAAACACGCTTCTTGTCCACGCTTCTTGGCAAGCAAAGTCAACGTCACTGGGTGTTGTGCACTCAACCGAGCCACCTGTCTCCATTTCTGCGCCTTTCTGCCACATGGATAACCCAACCTAAGTGTGTGTGTGTGTGTGTGTGTGTGTGTGTGCCGCACAGCGCTGCCTGTTCGTATCCTCAAGATGCACTCGATTTAATTCAGTTTGTTTCCCTCGATAGAAGCCTTAACTCGGCTCTAAGTGCACAAGCTGCGTGACTTTTTATTTCTTATTTTTCATTACCGTCTTCTTTTTGTTTTTTTTGCTCTTTGCTGACAATCTATAAGTAATAATGCGTTTCAAATTATCCAAAAGTAGCACTGAATATAATGAAGCAGGAATTTTAATATTAGCAAAGTTTGTTTGAAATTTCCTGCGACAGGTTGTCGTTTTTTTTTTTTGTTTTGCTTTCTTTCGGGCAATTTCCCCAAAGCCCCCGAAACACAAAAAATTAACAAACAACAAGTAAAAAAAAAAAAAAAAACGAAAAACTGCAAACAATGAGAAAAAGTTGGGGGGACAGTAATGCGAATCGACGTTTGACTTGCGAAACCTTTATGTCATCCTCTACAAAATGGCAGTACGAGTATCTGTTGAATGTCAGAACCAATTTGAGTCTTTTGTATCGCGGCAAACAGATCTCTTTGGATTTTTTTCTTTTTTCTTTTTTTTTTTCGTTGGGGGAGGCCATGCAGCAAGTCAGTCAATGAAGAAATACTTTAAAAAGTCGGGCAGAAGCCAAGGTCTTTATGACTCCAGAGATTTGGGTATAAATGAAGCATTGGTTCCACATCCGCTGCCCAAATCCACTCGCTTCTTCCTCTTCCCCCCTCCCCCAGCAAACACACACACACACACACACACACAAAGAAATAAAATTTGGAAGCCAGGCGGGACAATCAGTTTGTAGCATTTCTAGGCTTATCGGGTTCAAGCGAGAGCCTCCTGCTAAAAAGGGGCACAAACTCGGGGGACATTCAATTTTTTCAGGGGCGTGGCAGGCGGAGGGGGAGGGGAGGGGTATTGGGGATATAGTACACATGGGTGGGGATGTGGGGATCTGGATGTGGATGTGGATGTGAACGGTCAAGACCGGTCTGTGAAACCGTTTTTCAATGGCTTTTCAGGCTTTTGTTATTTCGGGGGACCAACCTCTATTTTTTGTGTTCTGTTATTCTGTTTTTCCTACACCGCAGGAAAAAAACGGTTATGGAAACGAAAATATTGTTAGATTAATCTTAGCTAAGCTTAAGTATGAAGAGTTTACCTATTAGATAAGTACAAAACCTATTTCTCAAAAGTTTAGTTTATAAACTCAATAGTAAATATTTTAAACATCGAAATGTATTTTGTTGACTGTTACTTTTTTTTTGAAACAGCTTACTTTTGATACAAGGTTTTTATATCCTTGTTATAATTTTTATTTTTTTTTTAGTGTAGCTCTGTGTTGTTGGCTTGAAAAGCCCACGGCTGTGCCCCATCTGCGCTGGATTTGTCAGCCAAGAAAAAGCCGTGTTGTTGTTGGTGGTGGTGATGGTGGAAAGTCGTACCCCTTTTCGTTGTACTTTTTAATCGCCGTTTCGGAATTTAATAATTTTAGGTCGCAGGTTGGAGGTTGGAGGTTGGAGGTCCTCGGAGGTCGGAGGTCCTTGGGTCACTTAGGACCTCTCGGCCGGCGGCCCTTGTCGAAACATATTTTCCCCATTTATTTATCCCCCGCTTTCCCCCCTTCCCCTCTCTCTCTTTCTCTCTCTCTTTCTCTCCCTTTCACTCTGTTAACCATTTTTACACCTGTTTGCCATTTGTTTCTGGGCGAGTAAGTGGCAAAAGATGATCTGGCTGGAGCTTTTCCAGCTGGACCTGTTGTCTGCTGTTGGCCTTCATTATTCAGCTTTTGCCCCACCAATTATACTATGTTGCCAAGGCCATGCGGTCTCTTTTTTTTTTTTTTTTTTTTTTTTTCATTTACTTTTGTGGGGCATAAATTCATTATTGCTGATTTGGACTTGGTAAATAAGCTTGTAGAGGGTGGAACGTTGACCCAATGGCAAAAGGTGTTGGCTTTTTCGAGAACAGCACAAACCAAGTTTTATGGTAAATAAATTTGAATATATATTTTTGGTTTTGAGGTAATTGTAACTATTTATGTCTGGAGTAACTAAAAGATATCTGTTTTGCACTTATTAAATTATTTATTTTAAGGTTTTATGACATTTTAAAGCATTGCTTGAAAAACCCACAATAACAATTCCTTTTCCAGACCCATTTTAACCCCATTGTACTCCTTAAGCCATTGTTTAGTTTATTATTGTTTTTGACCTATTATTGTTTTATTATTTCAGGAATAAAATGTCTGCGTCTTTTTCCGGAGTTGCAGTGCTACCATCGCAACAACAAAAACAACAACAATAAAAAGAAGAAGAAGAAGCGGAATAGCGGAGAGGGAACATTGGATTTTCATCCCGCAAATGGAATAGGGATAGGGATTCCATGGGAACGCATCCGTGCCGTGGGCCATGCACCGTTATACTTTTGCAGTTGCAGACACACACGTGCAGTACACACACACACATACACAGTCATTAAGATAAGTTAGTCCCTCGGACAATGGAAGTGGCACGTGCGTGACAAGTAAATTAACAACCAATTCCACTGTTGGCCCCTTTGGGCCACAATTATCTGTCAAGCGAACATAAAAATGCTCAATTACACCAACGCGTTTTCCAATATATATATACATATTTATATATATATATATATATATCACACACTGGCAAACATTGTATGAAATATGAACTTACTATCGCCAAACAATTTATCAAAAAATTTAGTTGAAATTTCTATTGTTTGATAAGCGAAAATGAAAATGAAAACCAAACACGCAACGAGTTAAAAACTTTTTGGCAAAATTGTTCAAAATAAATACAAAACCTCATTTACACGCTTTGAATTCCCATTTCAGTTTATGTTTCTTTTTTTTATCTAAAGGGAGCAATTAAAAAGAGTATTCAATTTAAAACCCATCAAACCTTTTTTCTATTGCTTAGTGCCACTGTATTCTTCTGATTAAATGTTCAATCAATTAAATCTTGCTCAGTAGAAGAAAAAAATAGGAGAAAAGCGATATGGCGATTAAGCGGTTAGAGAAATTGAAAGTTGATTAATTAGCTTATCTTAATTAGTTAAACTAATTATTCGTCGGTAGGAATTCATTGAAACTTACCAGGTTCGTCGTTTGATTGCAAGTTTTGAGTGCCAACGGAACTTTCCTTCGTCCTTTTCACTTTCACTTTCTCTGTATTTTCACTTTCTCCGCTTTATATGTGTGGGATGTTTGGTCTATCTGTGTTTCTGCTCAGTTTGAAGGACCATGACGATTGGCTGACGATGACATGCTGCAAAACGAGAGAAAGTCACGGTTAAAGTCAGCAGTTTGTGACATATCATATAGTAATTGAGTCCAATTAATATTTAATAATTAGCTCGTTAACTAATGAGCTACTTCAATTGAGCTGAAAGCTGAACGTGGAAAGTGGAAAGCTGAAAGTGAAAAGCGCTGTGAAAAAAGGAAGCAAACGACGGCGATCAAGTGTTTAGTGGTCACCTATTAGGCGCCTAATCGAGCGTGCATCGCCTCCCGTATTCCGTATTCCGTATTCCGTACTCCGGATTCCGTATTCCCGTTACCCGTATTCCGTACAACCCGTATAGTAAGTCCCATTCCCCAAAAATCCTGTTGATGGTACGGAAATACATACACCCAGAAAAAGAAATTAAAGTGAACTATACTAAGTATGAAGTACAAAAGATATACTAAGTAGTTTAAGTTCTTAACTTGACTTAAATTGTAAGTAATCTATTTGTACTGAAAGTATATTTCTTATACTCTTGTTCTTCTATCTTTTTAGGTATGGTTTCCTTTTAAGGGCTAGCTTTTTTTCCAGTGCACGAGTCGCCTTATGGCACACGCGAAACAACACGTGATGAGTGACGAGTGGTGGCGAGAGCGGTGGTGCTGCTGATTGACAGGCGCAGCCAATTAAGTGGTGCTGCTACACCCGGGCATCCCAATCCCCCAAATCCCCCAAATCCCCCGAATCCCGAATCCCGATTCCTTCCCCCGATGATGGTTCCCAATTCCCCGGGAAAAACTCTTCAAAATCGCAGCTTCATGCTGATTAGGTTGTGAATGGATACATCTGTGTTTGGGGATACCCTTACCTGCGATTTTCCAGTTGCGTTTCCGCTTGCCACTTTCAAATGAGTGAATGTGTGTGTGTGTGTGTGTGTGTGTGCTTTTGTGTGTGGATAGGTTGTGTTTGGTTGTGTTACTCCTGCCGGACTGACGATGGATTTGTTTCAGCGTGCAAAACGCCGGCAAACAGGAAACATCGAGGGTGAAGGGACGAAACGAGGGTGCTGCTGTTTGCTGCTGCTGCTGCTGCTACTGCTGTTTGCTGCGACAGCTGCAACTGCAACAGCAACTGCGAATGGGAATGGGAATGGGAATGCAACAGAAACTGCATTGTTAGGACGACAGCTGCCGTGGAAACAGAAACAGAAAACAGGCAAATCGCTATAGTGCAACCAAAAACAGCAGCAGTCCCCTCTGCGATTCCCGGATAAAATCAGCAAATTCCAAAATCAACCCCCTTATCAATGCTCAAATAATTCCACCCTGCGGTGCCACTCGATTTTTCGATATGATATTAATTCAATAGAGCACGCGGTTATCGAATAAACACTCCCTTCGTTCCGAGTTTTATCGAATTATCAAGAAGATTATAAAGTTTGCACGAGAAGTTCAGCTGCTAATTAGATTTTAGATTTTAGGAGGAGGAAACTTGGGTTTAGGGAAGAACTTGAAAAATATTATTAGCCTAGACAAAGGTACCTATAAAAGTATAACCTTTTGGCAGAAATAAATATCTAAATTAAAAACTCCAAAAAACAAAAATAAAACATAAGAAAAATAAACAATTTATTTATTCAAATAATCAGTGTACAAACATAAAATATTGAACCACAAACAAAACATATTCAAACATAAACCTTAAAACACGAAATATTAAAACATAAAATATCCCAACAAGACACCCATTAAAATGCCCAACATTTTGTCCAAACAAATGTGTCACTTCTGCGCATTTCAATTGAAATTGTTGTTGAACATGCCAAGTCGTTTTTTATGCACGAAACTCATAAAAACGTACAAATCGGCATATAAACGAATGAATAAAAGACATGTCATTCTTCTTTCTCAAAAAAAAAAAAAAAAAAAAAAAACAGTGAGTACTCTGTGTTGCGAAGTCAGTAGAAATGCAACAATCCCTGCCTTTCTTCTTGTTTTTTTTTTTATCAGCTTAATATTTGCCGCATTACAAGATAAAAATGCTCACACCTTTGCTTGAACATTTTACCAATATTTGCTTTTTGCAACGAAAGAGCAAACTTTGTAACAGGCACTGTCATATATTTATAAGCAACAATCTGGTGGTAAGTGTAAATATATAGCTCTATATAGTATCCCCCTCGCCTTTGCCACACAATTTGCAAACCGCGTTAAAGTGCCTTCTGCTGGGAGTCAAGGAATCATCTTGCACAGTCAGTGTCTTCATTGGGTTTTGGACCCCCCCCTCGTGACATCCAGGAACCGGGAAAAAGGACACTTGACACATCGAGAGGGGGGTAAAGGGGCGGGGGAGGGATAGAGGAGATATAGAAGATAGAGGGATAGAATTCGAATTAAAGGTTTCACGACGGAGGCACCGAGGCAAATGGCTGGCTGCGTTGAAAACTGCAGCGCGAAAATTTGCATAAGCAATTACGGCTGCTTTTTCGGTGCAATGGAGAAAAGTGAGAGGGAGGGGGAAAAGGAGGAGGAGGGGGAGGAGGAGGAGGAGGAGGGGGAGGGGGAGGAGGAAGGTGACTTGGGGGAACAACTTCTAGTACAAATATTGTCCTTGCTCGTCTATATCCGTCTATTTTGCCGCCAGCAGAGGCCGCCGCTTGACATTCCAAGTTTCGAGGATTGGAGGATTGGAGGTTGGCTGTTTTCGGGGGTTTCAGGGGAACAGGAATCGCGGATAGAAATTGGCTTTGGTGGCCCCCAACCCCCCCATCCCCCACCTCCAACACCCAACATCCAACATCCATCGCCAAGTGCCTGCCACGAAATTTGTAATGCATCAAAACAAAAATAAAAAGAAAATAAATGAAAAAAAGTAAGAGAAGCAAGTGTTGGGGGGCGAAATAAAAAAAAAAGATGCAACATTGCACTTAAGTGCAGCAAGGTGGCCTTAAAAAAGGTGGAAAAAAGGTGGAAAAAAGGTGGAAAAAAGGTGACTGAATAAGTGATTCCGAGTACGCCCTAATAAGGATACCTTGCCGTGACGTAATACGATCAAAGAGTTTTCCTAATGAGCAGGCATTCATTCATGACTTTCCCGAACGCCAAATTGAAGTCAAAGTTCATAACACAAAAAATCAAGTACACACCAAACTCGTGCTCGTACATAAGTAAAAAGACATTAAATTTAACAGGCTAATTAGCGCAACCGGCAGTGTAATTGTTTTTAAAAACAATTGCAAAGACCGCATTAAAAACATTAATTGCTAATAATTACATGTTATACCCATTAACATGTTAAATCAAAGCTTGTACTGAGAATTATATGAATATATATATTTTTTTTAATTGCAAAGAGTGAGTGGCGCTACACAGAATTGCATAATAAAATGCAAATGGGTGCTAAAAAAAAACGAGGAGTTGGAGGTGGAAAATGGCTTAGCTGCAGGTTAGTTTTCTTGCCCAACAAAACTTTCGAGGAAATCAGCTCAGAGTTTGAGAGCTGTGCAAATTTCCCGTCCGCTAATAAATTTTATTTGTGTGCGCCAGTTGCAGGCCCCAACGAAAGTTGAAGTTAAAACTTTAAGACATAACCATCGCACCTCACAACATTTCGGCTTGTTGTATACGTAGGTACTATATATAATATAGAGCCCTTAAAGGTGATCGGAGCAAGTTTGGTGGTTCGCCAGACACGTTATTATCCTTTTGCCAGGACTGCCTGATTTATGGCCAGCGGCCCAACAACCAATGCATCGATGCGGTTCGTGGCGTAATCTCAATCTCAATCAATATGTAATCAATCAATTCGCCATTTTACAAGGCTCCTCCGCATGGAGGGAGTCTCTTATGAATTTGCTCGCCTTCTCACAGACACTTTTATTATTTTCCACATGAGCTTGCGGTGCATAAAAGGTTCCCTGACCCCAGTCTAGTTTTTCTACACTTCTTCTATATGTTTTATGGGGTAAAGTGTTTTTCGGAGCTTACACTTATGTTCAACAGCTTCTTGGCAGGTACAGAAATAACTGTAAGGGATGAGAATCTGTTGGAATACCATGCATAATATAAACATTCTTTAATAACAACTTTTCCCATATCAAAATCTTTTTAGAAAGTAGTTAACTATTTTTCTCATTTCCTGTTTCCAGTGAAATTGTTTTCAGGGCTTTACGTTTGCGGATGTCTCGTGCATTATCCAATTTATAATATCTGCATTATTCGCATTGCCTGAATGTTAGGGGTTTGGCCAACCAACCCCTGATTTGGGGGGTTGGGGGTTGGGGGTAAACCGCTAACGGGTTCGTTAGACGTCGGCCACTGCAATCAGTTAAACAATGTTGCATATTAACGCGTAACCCAGTCCCCCTCCAAAAAAAAAAAAAAAAAGAAACCCCCCAACCCAGCAACTTGCACATCTGCCAGACTCGAGGAGCGGCGGCCATATCTTTGCATAAATAAAACATAAATTACCGACAGGCGGTGTCGGTCGGTTGGACGGTTGGACGGTTGGTCGGTTGGATTGTTGGACGGTGGGACGGTTGGTCGTTCGGTTGGTCGGTGGCTCTGTTTTGGCCAAGAGAGAATATAGCAGAGGAATATGGCAGCGGAATATAGCAGCGGAATATAGGCATCTGCTGTGTGCTACTGCTACTCGGTTCTGGTCTTTTGAGCCGTGGGGTTTTGGCCGGTCTGGGCGGGCTAATTAAAACACTTGATGGCCACTTCTATCCTCGGTCGCCGCCACTCAACTAGGCGTCTGTTTCATCGTCTGGTTGGCTGGCTGGTTGGTTGGGTGGTTGGGTGGCTTCTGGTGTCAAAGCCTCCTCCTCCTCGAGCCTTCCTGAATTTCGAATGGCACCCGCCGGCGGAGAAAACCGCCTCTGAGCCGCTGATGTTGTTATTACACTTCTCTTCATTTTTACTTTTTTTTTTTTTTTTTTAAAGGGTGTCCTGGCATAAACCTTATCCTGGGGGAGAGGTCCTCGTTCCTGGCTGCTGCCTTCTGCCTTCTGCTGGTTTATTGCGCCGCAGAGCAAAAGGAAA